ATGCCCAAGGGGTTACATTTACCATCCGCAAGAAGCTGGCTAAAGCCAGAGGTCTAGTATTCCCATATGCAGGGATCATCAGTTTTCATCATCAGTTTTCAAACGNAATCTCGCGAATATGCGGATGGTTTTTCGAGTATATTCTTGTTGAGGAAATCAAATAGATCATTCCTAGAAAAAACCCGAACTCGAAAGTCAAATTCTTTCAAGAGGAAAAGAACGGCAAAAAAATCCGCAATAATTATGCATCAACCTAATATATTCGAGGTGTGATGTGGTCTGCTAAAACGGGTTGCATACGCTCCTGTGTACATTAATGTTGAGGAACTTGAAAGTTAAGAGATTTGGTAAGTGAAATATCATCATTTCAACATGCCATTGTACTTTTGCTGGGATATTAGGTCCCAGAATCCTCGATGTTCATGGCTTCGTTTCGTGAATTGGTCGCCTGTTCGCTTTGTGCGCGCGCTGTTGCCATCGCCGCTTAGATCAAAGGCAAAACGATCAAGGAGCCATCTCACGAGCTTCACCCGTCCAGCTGTGTCTCTACTGGTTGTCTTGAGTGGAGATGAGGGTTATCCTAAATCTAGAAATCCGGTGACGTTGGCGTTGGTATCCACAGAGATGGAATTGGTAGGTTTTGACCACAGAGATCCTGTTTCAAAATCTGATGGTAGAACAGCTATACTTTCTGGACTAGGTTTCCCATAAAGTTTCGCCGGTTTTTTCCAAACATAGTTGCTTTAAAAAGTTCATGGTATTCCCGGTAATTCACAGAGGTGGAATTAGTAGCTTTCGACCACAGAGACTTCGAAATCTGGGGGAAAGCTGTTTAAAGGCAGTAGAGAGGGATAGATTTGATCATGAGTCAATTTTGTCTCCTTTCAGTAAAAAGTAAATATTGAAGTAACGTCGCTAGTCTCGTCAGATGGACACCTTACTGGCCTGGCCTTATTCCAGCCCAGTTCATTGACAAGGAAAGCACGAACCGCGACACAGTCACATGTAGGAGAAACAAGCTTTCGAATGCTAGAAGTAATGCCTCTAAAAAAAGCAGCACCTCTGTAACACTCGTAAAGGGTATTACTGAGTTACGAATGGTACCATTACTAAAATTCCTGGAAGATATTTTGTATCCATTGTAGTTGTAGTTGTTCTGTCACATTCACGCAATCTTTCTGATTCCATATATGTAGTTGTTCGTTTCAGACGAATGAGGTAAATGGCAGTTGCAAGCCTCCAAAATGCTCCATTCGCCATCTTTCGGTAGTGTTCCAAGAATTACTACTCGCAGGAGTAGCGCTCCCGCCAGAAAGGACGGAGATGTTTGCCCACGGTGTTCAATATTTCAGTTTTCTTCATCGAAGTTTCTACGGTATGGTAGCAAACTGTTGTATTTCTGAGGACGAGAAAGTGCGGTGGCCTTCTATACCCTGTTTTGTCCAATTACACACAACCCCCCACCTTTCAAAAGGGAAGGAGCTCTATGAAGGAACCTCTGGATCAGTTATCCATGGTAAGTTGTACTTGGATACCAAATGAGGTTTAGCACCGACAATAATTGTTATCAATAAATGAATGAAGCAGCATTGAAAAATTGAACTGACTTCTCTCCTTCGAATTTCAAACCGGTGCCTAATAAGCCATCCTTGTTTGCAAAACCTCGGCCGGCAGCAGCCGCTTCCTCCGTTGTGATCTGAAATTATTATTTCTTAGCGAAATTTTAGAAATTATTCATTAAGATGGTTCGTTGAAGTGTACTTTTCTGTTTTTTTTCGCTCAGGATGATGTATCTGGTGGAAGATAAATATTGCGGAGCTGCTTCATACAGGTGGGAGAACAACTTAGCAATCTATACGTGATCCACGAAATTTTAGAAAAGTTTCGCTATGATTCCCTAAAACGCTTGCCTTACCCTAAGATTCTCAGCAATGGAGCACAATCATTCTGCGCTATCGTCATCTACAACAGCAAAATACAGAGGGCACCGCTAAGATGAACGGTGGTGAGTTAGCGATGCCCAAGGGGTTACATTTACCATCCGCAAGAAGCTGCTAAAGCCAGAGGTCTAGTATTCCCATATGCAGGGATCATCATTTTTCAAACGTAGACAGCATCAGATCACCCAGATCGAGTTCGACCGAATTCTCTTAAGTGTGACTTGTTGAATGTTGATGAATGAGATACCATGCGCTACTTTGGAAATAAGGGAAGTCACTGATACTCATGATGCTATAGACTTTGTTGTAAGCTAGTTGTTGCTAACATTATCAAAAACGCCCCGAAATATGGAATCTGAAAGTGTCCCATCTCATCTCGGAATCTAACAGTACACGGAATGCTGCGAATTCACAGTGCAGCTCCCACAGTGTAGGGGCTTATCCCTTGAACGGGATTGATCAACACTCAAAGACTTTATTCTTTCTGCTTTATTTTCCTTGCCACCTGTTGAAATCGGTCCAGTTTGCCATTTCCCCATGCAGTTTGGCTTTTATGGAATCACAGACCATTTGCTTCATCTATTTCAGAGCCGAGTTTTTGCGAGTTGTTATAATGGACCATTTGCTTCGTTTATTTCAGAAGCTTGTTCTTGTGAGTTGTTACCGAAAAGGGTTTCCGATAAATACCCGGTCATCAACCCATGCAACAAGCCGACGTCTAGGAGAGTGAAATTACGTATACCATAGCCTTTAAAATTTACAATAGCGCGTAAGTTTGGGAACATGATAACGTGGGATAGGTGCGTAGACCTTGTGAGCAGTGGTTGTTCGTGAAAATCAACTGATGGTTCCTCAAAAAGGCATCCCAGTAGCTTGACACAAATTTCTCCCCGAATGTTTCCCCATCTGAATGAAAAACGGTGTTGTGCCGACTATTTCGTGGGTTCCACCACATTATTCATCATGATATAAAATGACGACTGGGCCAACAACATATATCTATGTGATTGAAGTTATCCCTACCAAAGTGGTTAAAGGAAGAAACGACTTCCTCCGCACTGTGTACCGCAACGGAACGTTGTGCTCTCTCGTTCGGCTTATCATGGTTGGTGGGTGGTTGACTACCGTCTCCCATCGGAAGGAGTTTCTGATGAACATGCGGGAGAAAATACCATATGCAATTCTGCTCTGCCTAGGGCGGAACTAGAACTCTACCCTCAATAGAAAAGTCATGAAGGAAGATCATCACCTGCTGCAATTCAAAATCTTCAATTCGAACAGTAAAGAATTGAAATGCGCTTATATATGCCGATCGCAGGTTCACGATAAAAATAGTTTCTGAGATTTCCCCATAGGATGGATTCGAGGCCCCTCGTTATCATATCTGGCCCTACCAGGTCGGGAAACGGCCAAGTTAGAGCGTTATAAAGGCTCAAAGATTGTATGGTGTTTACTCTCGAACGAGTTTCACCGGCATTGCAGAGGCTGCATAATTCACAAGAGAACCCTATCAAGTTCGAAACAACATGTCACGACCCATAGCGACAGTAAAAGGCAGTTCTGTACAGTTCTGGCTGCGCCCTTTGCGCAAATGCAACAAGCAAAATTTCGTCCAAATGCCCCTTCCATGTTATTTCCGTCATGGTGATCTCGTCCAACATCTAGTTCACCTACTTTTGAAGAGCCCTATTTCTCTCAGAATTGGCGAATTTCCTCACTTCCGGGATGAGAAGCAGGCTTGGAAAAACATACGTCTATCTGGCAAGAACATAATGCTGCCACAGTATTATTTGGCGGAAGCTAGTTGCCATGTAACTGCTTACAGTCAGTGGTGCCCCTTAGCACCACTCTTGACTCTTGACATCAGTTTGCGAAGTGTTTTCTTACTTCGATACCATCAAAAATCCCGTGTAGTGGGAGGAAAGGATGTCACTCTCCATTGAGCTACCAAAAATCATAAAAAAGCAACCGAGAACTAGCGTTTTTGTTATTGTTTGACTGCTATGGAAATCAATCGAACAAACATGAGAAGGGTTCTCACTTGTAGCCCTCCCTAGACCGGTCACTGCCCAAAATCGATCGCTTTCATCAAGCAGAAAATCCTGGTAGAAGTAAATCTACAGTGAATCACGAAACCAAAACCAACATCTGTGATAGGATCAGATGCCAGTGCAGCCATTAACGGCAGCCTCCTTTTTTTTCAGTCATATGTATGCAGCTAGCCGACATTCTGAGCCTACTGCCCTATCTCAATAATAGTGCAACGTTCGCAAAAGCTCGAGCGCTCAGCTGTTTGTCGTAATCACTTCTATTTGCTCGAGCCCCCAACTGTTTCCCTTCAGCCATCGGCTGTGTCTTTTTGACGTCTCTCAGTTGCTCCCCGCGCAGCAATCGAGATTCAAACTTTGGAACCGGCTCTTTTGTACACATAGACGGAATCGAACTTGGTTCAGGAAATATTGCAGGGAAATCAAGATCCGAAAATTATCGGTGTTCCTTGGAATCCCCATTGTAAGTGAAGGCTCCCAGAACCAGACAATGTCCCTTAGCTTTTGTGTTGAATCAGTTTCTCCGATCGAACGGAGCATTCGAAGGTAGTAATGGTGAGAAGCGTGAAATCACAGACAATGATGCATTTATGCAGACCGATCATTTATTTTGTGTTTGTGAATGGGTGGAAGTGAGGTAGTGTTACTCGGGGCTCCCCTACACTGTAGTTTTGGACCCGACACTCATCAAGACCAACCTTTTTTGAGTGGGAGCGTGTCCTAAAAAAAGGCCAATACTCATCCTTTCATTTTGTTAGCACCTAGTATTACCTCTGTCTATTGATGAGACCTACCTTGAAGTTGTCGCTTTTGCCCCAAATGGAACCATCAAAGCCACATATAGCTGCTTTGCTGACATTACCAGAGCCGACCAAATTATTGTTAACGAGATCCGCCCAAGACATCTGAAATAGAAATTGTTTCAAAGATTTTCTGGAAATTTCATGAGGAATGGGATGGAATGAGAGCAAATGCATGAGTACTGGATCGAAGAAAGTGCACTGCTATGTTGACACTTCTCTATGTACATCTAAAGGAACTGGAGAACTGAAATTCCACTGCAAAAATATCGAAAATCGATTTTTGCCTCATTATTCTGCAGTTCCTTTCCCATTAAATAGCAATTTATCATATGGGCTGCTGTAATCCAGCAATGAGGTGTGAAATACTGAATGATCAAAAAGCTCGCCGATTGACTGAGGCAGCACTTCTTTTTTGTTGAAAGCCGTTGAATCTGTGAATCTGTGTGGGTGGCACATTTCGCTAGTCACGTAAGAATAACCTACAGATGTCCATGTAACGATTTCTACTTTTGTGACAGCCTAGTAGTGATTACCGTCATCGATACGATTACAGAACGGCTACCAGCAGAATGGAGAACAGAGGAGATGGCTTTTAACAGAAAACTGAACTCGAATTAAGTTCAACGTGAATACAGTATCGCTGAGCTGAGACGTTCAACGATCTTCAACAGACATTCATCAGAGGCACTTAACTCCTAGGCAAGAAACCACGCAAAATTCCTACACAGTGTGCAACCAATGTTACTCGAGGTAACCGGCTCAACGCTTCACGAAACGAGCTGTGAAAAAGGTCTTCGTTCAAGGTGCAGCCTTCAAATGAAGACGATTAAGAAAGATGAAGTTGTCATGTAAGTCATAGAAGAGGAAAATCAACATTGTGACAGCGGGCGAAAGCGAACATTGGCCAAACAAGGACTGCATGAGGTCGAATCGTAGTTGTCGTTGAGCATTGGGAATCAATGCTTAAAAGACCCGATCAGGAACTCTTCTCATTCACAAGGAAAAAGGATAACGAGACTGAAAGAATTTAGCACTTTCATTTTGAGAACATTTGCTNAAGAAGAAGAAGAGAATAAGGCGCTTTTAAAAAAATTCAAAAAGTCGCTTTTCGTCGAGGTTTCGATTTATTTATTGGCAAAATTAATGCTGCTTCTATTGGTATGATAATGAAAAAAGGAAAAAATTCAGCTGACGATGCTGGATTTTTTCCTTTTTTCATTACCATACCAATAAAAGCAACATTAATTTTGCCAATAAATAAATAAAGGGCTCCCTAAACTAACACAACTAGTACACTCGGAACAGTAAGAAAAACTGACCTTAAACTACTACTACATACTGTTACCATCGCCATACATTCAGTGCGGTTACACTTTGACAAACATGATATGTTGCCCATTCAATCCCTTCTTCAACTTATTCTGGCAGACTAACAATAATTGTAGCTCAAATGGTTAGTTTCAGTGATATATTTTCAATTTTGTTGTTTCATCTCAGAATCTGTAGAAAATATTTACTCAAAAGAATAGACCAACTGCACAAATGACAGAAAAGAAACACACGGACGAGAAACGAAGAAATTCAGACGGAGCCCGCATGAAAAGTAAAATTCCGTGGTCAATCTCAGTCAATAAAAATTTCCTTGAAAAGTTAAACAATGCGTGGCCTGACATTCACGGATTGAACTGCCATTGCCGCCTTTATTATATCCCTTTTGAGTCACGTGCGAACGGATGGTTGTGGCGGAGATTGTGCAGCTCTTCGTAGTGTTGAAGATAACTGGTCGTTCAGGGGTAGCAAATGTTGATAATGCGAGTTCAAGGGACTACATCAACATAACCAAGCCCACAACAAAGACCAATACCAAGAAAATCAAGAAAATTGACAAAATCAAGGCAGAAAAATGCGAGAAAATCATATGCCGTCATAAAGATACAGTGGTAAAAGTGGGTGTGGTGGAAGCTAAAGCGACGCCACCCACTCCAACTGTCAATGAGTCACGCAAGCGACAGGAGCTTCTCGGAATTCCCCACTCAGAGGGTCGGTCGACTGGGTGTTCGACCTGGGAGGAGCAGTGTGGGGGTAGATTTAACGGCCGCTTGAACAATGCTCAACGGCGAGCGGCCNGTCTTCTCCCCGAGAAGATCAGATGAAGTGAATTCATAGGTGTTTGTCTTTCGAATGTCACTACTGTTTATAATGAGAACTTTATGAAAATGTGCTTTTGTATAAGTCATACAACTATCGAGCGAAGCTGGTAGGTACGGAGGGAGGGTGGTGAGTTCTCCCGAAAATCGCGTTGCGCCCGCCGCACCCGATCGCGCCCATGAGGGGAACTGTTCGAATTCCACAGGCCGCAGAACTTGCCAGCTGCCGTGGGAATTCGGAAAGAAGTATCGCTATGCTTGACCTCGTACCTTAGGATAAAGGGCCGAGTTAGGGTTAGGGATTTCTCAACAACACACGGGAGTTTCGTAATTCATTCCCACACAGCTTCAGGAATTGTAAAAATAGCCGTTTACAACAAATTCGTGAAAAAAGCCCACCACTGTGTCCAAAGCCTGGGCGAGAGACTTGCGTCTAGAAGGGACCGGAGATTGAGAAAAGTAAGTAGCGCATACGGTTTTTTTTTTCGTGGAATTCAGGCTTATTTTCCATAAACTCCTTGCTCCAACATGTATGTTGGGCTTGGACGTTAACTCTGCTAAAGAGACAGAGTGGGTAAAAATGACTAACATCGGTACCCATCACTAAGATATCACAGATTTTTCCTGCTACTCGTTATTTTATGCTGCGATATTTCCGAGGGCTGTCTCGAAAATCAAAGGCTTAGTTCACGATAATTTCCAGGTGCCCTTTTTGCTTGAAGAGCGGAAGAGTTGATGTAGATGAGTACACCTGTGGCGAAGGAAGCGAGAAAATCGGCTTACTTAAAGCTTTTCAAAGTAAAGGAAATGGAGGTTGTGCGAGTCACCGCGACAGGAATGGCATGTAAGGGATTTTTGGACGAGATTTAACTTGCTCCCATCGTGTAAAGAGCTGGCTACATCAAGTGAAGATTGAAGATAGTGAAGATTTGCAGTGTAAAAATGTCCTTTCCGCTACATCAAGCCATAACTGTCCAGCACTGCCTTTTACTGTCGCTATGGGTTACGACAAAATGTTTGATCTTCTCACTTTGGTTCCCTTATGAATGGTGCAGCCTCCACAAAACCGTTTAAACTCGTCCACTAGGGGTGTGGCATTCACAAGATACAATCTCTGGTTCCTTATTGTGCCATAACCAGGACGTATTTCGCCCTTATAACGACGGTATAAGGGGGAGCCTCGAATTCATACTATAGGGAAATCTCAGAAACTATTTTCGTGAACTGCGCCTTTAGCTGTCCATAATGTGTACATAACAGAGACTGATCAGTGGTCAATTTTATGACAGCGATCCGCTACCATTACACTTGCCAAATGACATAGTTTGGACCACTAAAATAGGCAGAGGTTACGCCGTAACCAAGGTCCTCCCAACAGCCGCCTTTAAGGAGGTCCACTGTGTAATGCTCGTGTCAACGTGAGATTGCTAAATCGTCTAAACATTGCGACAGACAATATAATTCGACTTACTGTTGCAGATTATTCAACGTGCCTGATGAATTGAGATAGTCTCCCATTCACATAACTTGTACCGCCCTCTTATGATCGAGCACCTAATACCGAGTGATACCGAGTGAAGATTTGCAGTGTAAAAATGACCTTTGCGCTATATCCGATCAATCCCGGTGTCAGAGTCGGAATACGACAATCAAAGAGGCCTTCACCGTAGCAGCAGCAATATGTAGTACGTACGAGGGTGTTTCAAAAGATTTGAACATTTTGAATTCGTGCCAGGGGGTCTGGGCGATTTTGAAATCCTGCCGGACTGAGCCACCATGTGATCAGCACTTGCAAGAACCAGAACTGGTTTAGGTCCTGTTCAGATCCTTTTTTTCTTGTTGCAGTTGATGCTGGGAGGCTTTTTGTCATATTTTGTCATATTTTGCTGGATCGTGCTGGATCGGTTGCGACTGGGTACTGCTGTTGCTGTATAAGCCAGAGACAACATTCGTTTTGCGATTAGCTTCGTTGTTTTCTTCTAGGAGTCAGGGATTGGTATTGTTGCTTTCTTCTAGGAGTCAGTAACAGAATGGATTGACTTCTTTCTCTGGAGTTGTTCAACTGGAAAAGGCTCATTGAGTGGAGCTATTGGTAATGGATAGAGGTGAAATAGGCTTCCTATTTAAAAGCTGTGCCAACTTGCTTTTCAACCATTACACTCGATAGTCCAAAAACCTTTGCAGAAATCTTCCGCTTCTCAAGTAACAATTGCAACTCTAGAAAACAGTTAAGCGTACTCTGGAAACTTTAGTATGAAGGTTCTTCTCTCCATCTGTAAGGGGGCCTACTCTGTAATCAGCTGCAGCGACTGGGAACCTGCTTGCTTCACAGCTTCAGAAACATACGCTTAGCATCGAATATGGCGCAATCCAAGATCTAAAGCCTTACATAACTTCATTAAATTACAGCCCTGAATTTTGAAAATCACCTCTTAACCTTATAAGCTCACAAGCGAAAATTTCGGGAAACAGCATTTACCAATCATATGGTCAGAGAAGGTTCACATTGCATGTGTGTATAGAATGTTGCCTTTGCTTGTTTCCCAAATAAATCTGATCCAAAACTTAGGCTACCATATTGCGGTGGTCACTTCACGCTGGAAGTACGACACAGCATTATTTGTTCTGGTTATTAATCAATTGATTTATCAATTCATACATACATTTCACATATGCAACGCCCCACTATTGGGATAATGCAAGATGCTAGCCAAACTATACAACACCTTTTACAAAACTGAACTTCGCGGTCGTTGTGAGTGAAGACGTCCATATCCTAGCACAAAGACTTATATCCACGCTGTGAAATTGAAGGGTGATGGTATTTCCATCCAAATTCCTACGACAAGCGGCAGTGGTTCTGCAAAAACCACCGCGAACCTTCACTGAGAGTTTGAACCTTTCCTTGCAAGACCCTACCACACGCGATCGCTTGCTACGAGAACGACACGTCGT